TACAGGGTCTCACTACACAGATCGGACTCATAGTGATCTTACTGTTTTCAGCCTCCCAAGTGCTGGGATTACAGGTGTGCACCACTGCACCCAGTCTCAGTGGCCGGCTCAGCGCACCCTGGGGGTGGAGCTGGCACAGCATGGCGGGAGATCAAACCCCAGTCCCTTTGTCTGCCTAAGCAGGTGCTTTAATCCTCAGAGTTATCTGGCCAGCCCTTACCCCTGTAACCTTCTTCTTGGAGCATCTGCATCCATGGTCCCTGGCTTCCCTTCCTTTCTGCTATAAGGACATGAAATCCCCCTTGCCAGCTCTGTTCCTCTTCCTCTGCCAGGCTGGGCCTCTGCTGGCTTGGCTCTGCTTCCTGGACCAGCACAGATCAGCCCAGCTGCTTGCCAGGGTGGCTGCTCTCACATGCTTACTCTCACTCAGCTCTGTGGGGCCAGACACCCAGGAGAGGCAGAGCCGAGTGTGGAAGGGAGAGGAAATTGGTTCTGGAGTTAAGCAGCTCCTGGACACACCTCCCAATGCCCACTACCAGCCTGCTTTCCTCCTCCATGTGTCATGAATTAGCCCCACAAGCTGCAGAGAAAACCAGAGGAGCAAGTTGCCCAAGGCGCTGGAAACACCTGATATTTAGGAATCCACACTTAGCACTAAAGTGCCTTGGAGACCACTCAGTTCCCTCCTTTAATCACTCCGATGACAACATCATTGACAGGCCAGAAATGACTGTCCCCAGTTAGCCAGCAAGCCCTCTCTCCTGTAATTGCTTCCTTTCGCTCCAGGCAGGGCAGGTCTCACCTGTCTGTCAACAAAACCACGGGGCCCTTAAACCAGCCTCCAAGAAATTGTGGTAATTGGTGTGCAGGAAACTCCCTTTGTTTTAGAATCTTGGGGAAGTCATTATCTGCTTTTGTGTATAAGTGTTGTGGTAAGTGTTGTGTGATGTTGGGGAACATGAGGAGACCCTGTCCTGTGCTCAAAGGGACATAGAACAGGGTAGCACAGGGTACTGGTAGGGGCATAGATGCAGGAACGGGGTTGTCTGGGTTCAGATTCCTGAGTAGTGTTTCATAGGCTAAAGGGACAGAGGGAGAAAGACCAAGAACCGTCCAAATCTCTGCCAACTTATTCCAAGTGCGACCCTGGGCAGATCTGCTTTCTTTATCTTCCTTTTCTCAACTGTAAAATAGGAATAGGAAGATTGACTGAGCTAATGTATAAATTGATAAAGTGCTAGGCAGAAAAGCAATACATATATTTCAAAAGAAAGAAGGCAAGCAAGAGAGGAAGAAAAAGAGAGAAAGAGACTAAAAGAGAGAGCAAGAAATGAGGTGATTAGGAAGGCCTCCAGTAGGCACAGATGTGGACTAGAAGTGAATTTTCAGGGCTGGCCAGATAGCTCAGTGAAATAAAGTGCCTGCTTAGGCAGCCGCAGGGACCAGGGTTTCATCGATGGCATGCAGTGCCAGCCCCACCCCCAGCATGCTGAAACAGCGACTGAGACTGGGCATGGTGGTGCACGCCTGTAATCCCAGCGCTTGGGAGGCTGAAAACAGGAGGAGCACTATAAGCCTGATCTGTGTAGTGAGACCCTGTACTACATACATTAGGAAAAAAAAAAGTGAATTTTCACCTGTTGTTGGATTCCTTGCGTCTTATTAAAGGAAGGAAGCTCGGGGGGCACTGTGGAGCTGTTTGGTAGCTGATTCTTTTGGCAAAGGACCTTATGCCATGAGATGTACAATGTAGCTTTGGATTTCACAGGGCTGTTGTGCTCTGTTGGGGGCTTGCGCTCACCGCTCATCCCGGGAGCTGTGGCCTTCCCCCGCGGAAGAGGGGCCATAAGGTTGGTTAGCGGGGCGGCACTAACAGCCTCCTTGCTATCTGGAGCCCGTGGGGTTCTCGCTTCTCCCCTGCCCTCGCACAGTCTTGGAAGTGCAGTCGGAGCGCAAGGCTTCTCGGGTCTGTCAATTCCCCAAGGTAGGGGAAAGTGGAATGGCCCAAGTTGAACAGTGAATTCTTTGATTCCAGAATAGCTGCTTCGTTGTGAAATGTGAGTGGCCCTCTGAGCTTCACACCCAATTACTTACAGAGCTAATTTTGAAACTCAGCCTGCTGGGTCTGGTCTGGGAATTCCTGATTGCACAGCTGAGCCGAGGTCCAGGTGGGGTTGGGCGGGCTGCGGGGAGTCCGGGACCGCCGCGCTGACGCTTGCGCTTGCTTTGCTCTCAGAGATGCCGCGCCAGTTCCCCAAGCTGAACATCTCGGAGGTGGACGAGCAAGTCCGGCTCCTGGCTGAGAAGGTGTTTGCGAAAGTGCTGCGAGAGGAGGACAGCAAGGATGCCCTGTCTCTCTTCACCGTCCCGGAGGACTGTCCCATCGGGCAGAAGGAAGCCAAGGAGAGGGAGCTGCAGAAGGAGCTGGAGGAGCAGAAGTCCGTGGCGACCGTGAAAAGGTTTGTCCCTGGGCTCTCATGCGGATGGAGTTGTGCGTCCTGAGACTGGACACTCAGGAGCTGGCCTGTCCCTGGGGATTTCTTGAGCAAGCTTACTTCACTCCCCACCTGATCACTGAAGGAAACCTTGGTGCCTGGGTTGGGTTAAAAAGTTCAAAAGCAGTTCTCTCCCATTGTTTTTTTTTTTTTTTAATTAAAAAAAGTCTTTTATTTGATATGAGATCTCGCTATGCAGCTCAGACTAGCAGAGATCCTTCAGTCTCAGCCTCTCCAGCGCTGGGATCACAGGCATGCACCACCAGGTCGATTTTGATGGCCCGCACAACTTGGGTTGCGGGCTGGCACAGCATGAGGTACCTGGGAATTAAACCCAGGTCTTTGGGCTTGCCAGGCAGGCACTTAGACCGCTGAGCTGTCTCCCCAGCCTCCCTCTGTTGTTTTAATTACAAATTACATACAGAAATAGGTGCCATTTACAAATGGCATTTTCCTTTTTGGAAATTTGAGGATTTTTTTTAAAAAATCAGTTTAATTTCTTTTCATCACTTTACAGTGATTTGCATTATTTGTTAACATTTCTTTTCATTACTTGGCACCCATTAGCATTATTAGCATTTTTTTCTACTTGGAAATTTGAGGGCTTTTTGGGAAACACCAATTTTTTTTCATCACTTGCTACTTGTTTGCATTATTAACATTTCTTTTCATTACTTGGCACTTGTTTGCGTTATTCATTAACGTTCCTTTTGGGAAATTTGAGGAAACACCAATTTTTTTTTTTTTTCACTGCTTAACACTTGTTATTAGATAATTATTTGCCAGGTGCTGTGCTGGGACTGGAGATGTAGAGCTCTGTAATGCAGTGGTCCCTGTCCTGTGGAACTTAAGGGTGGCTCTATACAACAGCTAAGGTGTTGGACAAACTAATGAAAGAATTACAAGTTGTGGTAAACTTTGTATCAATCAGGCTCTAACTAGAAAGACCAAAAGCTGAGTATTGGTGATAGGGTTTCTTTCTTTCTTTCTTTCTTTCTTTCTTTCTTTCTTTCTTTTTTTTTTTTTTTTTTGTATTTTAGTACAGGATCTACAGGGTCTAGAGGGTTTCACTATGTAGATTGGACTCATAGTGATCCACCTGTGTTCAGCCTCCCAAGAGCTGGGATTACAGGTGCGTGTCACCATGCCCAGTCTCAATCACCATTTCAGCACACCCTGGGGGTGGGGCCAGAACAACAGGCTGGGGATCAAACCCTGGCTGTTGCGCTCTACCTAAGCAGGAGTTTAATCTGCTGAGCTATTTGACCGGCCCTATGTGATAGGATTTTAATGCAAGGAAATGGTTGTACAGGATGCAGAAAGCTGAGAAGCCTAACAGAGATGAAAGAGGCAAACTAGAGATGGGACACAGGAGGGGCCAGCAGCACCCTGGGGTGTATGGCTGTGTCCCAGGACAGGATCACCCTGGGAAAGTTGGAACTGTGGTAGCCTTTCTGATAGAAAATGGAGAGGCAGCCTGTAAGGGCTGTTGGCTCGGAAGAAGGGACAGTTCTGCGGATACTTCAAGGCTGTAGAGGAGCTAGCTATGTGGATGGTCAGTGGCACCATCACCGGTGGCTGAGTCAGCCAGGGCAGAGGACCCCAGGGGTCTTCAAGGAGGCCTGTTGGCTAGAGGTTGGAGGGAGCTGGCTGTGTCCGGCAGCTGGAGGGGAGGCCCATTCAGACTGGCCATGTGCTTCCTGATAAGAGGTTGGGGGTTCAGTCTCTTGCCATGCAAGTCCTCATCCCTTCCCGACTTATGTCACCTGAGAGGACAGAATTAAAGTGGAAAGAGCTTGCAGAAGCATCTAGAGCATCCCTGTAGGGTCACCACCTGCCCAGCACACTGCAGACCTCAAAAGCTGGTGTCCTGAACTTTGAGCCTCTCTAAGACCCAGCAAGCGATCAGGTCCCTGCTGAGGTCCTCCTGATTGTTGAAGGGAGTCCTTTTCTTTCTCAGTAGCATGGAATTTTAGGCTTTCCAGGCAAGTGCTTATTCTACTGAGCTATCTCCCCTGCCCTCAGACTTTCCTTCACTGGTTTTGGAAAGAACTGACAAGCTGACTACTGGCGTCAAGGCAGGAACAGAGCCTTGCCACCTGTGAAACCTGTGTGTGCCTTCTTGGAGGGAGGGAGCTGCAGGTCCACTGCCACCTCTGAGTGCCAGTCTTGTGCTGGTTGAAGTGAGTGGCTCAGCCGCTGTGCTTGCTCATCCCTGGAAGGGATGGAAAGCATGGTTGTTGGGACCCTTGGCCACACCATTGGCTTGTGGAAGAGAAGGACTGACACCAAGACTAGCATGCCTAGTAGGGCTTCCTGCGTGTGATGAGTTGAGCATTTGGACCTTCACAATGAGAGGAGGAAGAGTCCTGGCACTTTTTATTAGCAGGACCAATAAGTGTCTGAGGTCAGTTTCCATTACAGGGTGACACTGGGCTTGACATCCATAATTATCAAGGCCCAGACCAAGGGCAAGATGGAGCTTTCTTGCTCCTTGTCCAAATGGTGCTCTGTGGGGTCTAGAAATTCCTCTGCAGACTCCTCCCAGGAAATGTGCCTCTGGGTCTGCAGGATGTTCAGGGTCTTACTACTAGATTGGACTCATAGTGATCTGCTTGTTTACAGCTTCCCAAGAGCTGGGATTACAGGTGCATGCCACCATGCCCAGTCTCAATTGCTGTCTCAGCACGCTCTGGGGGCGGGGCTGGCATGGCAGGCCTGGGGATTGAATCCTGAGCCCCTGTGCCTGCTTGCAGGTGCTTTTATCTGCTGAGCTATTTGGCCGGCCCAGGCTGTGGGATCTTGGCTTGCATCTGTCTGCCCCATCTGACTATAGCTCCTTAGGAACCGTATCTGTCTCCCCAGCATCCAGCCTAAGCCTTGGCCATATTGATAGGCAGCGGATGTGTGGAAAGACATCCTTCCTTCCTGTTTTCCCCGTGTCAGTGCCCACTGTGTTCTGACCCCCACCTGCATGCTATGGGACCTTGGGCACTTTAGGGAACTTCTCTGGGTCCTAGCTTCCTCATCTGTAGAGTAGAGAAGATAAAATAGCTCCCAGCGTGAGACATTGCAAGGAAACAAGGAATTAACATGTGTAAGCTTAGGATGAGCCTGAGTCCCTGCAAGCCACATAAATGTTAACTCTCCTGCCTCAGCCTGCTGAGTAGCAGCAGCTACTGCGATAGAGTCCTTGGCATGGGCTATGTATTGGTCCAGGCAGTTTGCATGTTTTTTTCATCCCTACATTAAGCCTATGAGTAGATATTCTTAGAGTCTTGAAGTTGCAAATTAAAAAAATAAGGCTCATGAATGTTGGATTAACTTGCACAAAGACAGATAGTGACAGAATAGGGACTAGAACCCATGTCTTTTGAATCTAGACCCTACATCTTAACCAGCAGAGTCACATTTTCATGTGGGCTGGAGCCTTTGACTTCTTGGTGTGCAGACACCAGAATGACACTACCGTTCTGCCCCAGATTATAATTGCTGGCTTCTGAGCCAGCCACAGTGCCACCTGTACCTACTGGCTCCTGTTCTGAAAGATGGCCTTTTTGCTTGACTACCTGCTAAACATCCCAGTGTCCCCTGAGATTATGCACATACAAGTTTGTCTTGGAATTTCACTGCTCCCGAGAGGTGCCTTTATGCAAATCTCCAGAGGAGACCATTTTCCTAGAGGACATCAATCCCCCTGTTCCTACCCAATCTTTCATCCCATCCAGGCATTCTGGATATAAATAGCTCTGTGGAGACTTCAGGCCAGGAACCAGAGGGAGAACCAGATGTAGGTCACCAGATGTGCAGTTTGAAGCTTTTGTGTATGTTTCAAACTATGATATAAGTTGGGGCTTCTAGGTTGGCAAAAGCCTTTCCATGCCCTGGCTCCTCTGAATATTCATGTGCCTGGAGAAGATTTTCTTTACAACAACTTTTTCTCTCTCCTGTATAAAAAAAATCAAACTCAAAACACTCACAATGACTTTAAGGCTGCTCTAAGAACACCAGCGAGAGTCATGGTAGTAAACGAGTTTCTTACAAAAAGAAGTTGAGCTGTGAGCAGAAACATTGCGTAGTTGGCTTCCAGCTTTGTTTTCCAGGACTTCCAGCTCTAGGAGCTAAACTTGATTCATGTGGAGACCTTGAAGGGCTGGAGATTGAGTTGGTCTGCTCTGGGAAGCTCTCATTTTATAGGCCAGGACCAGACGGGAAGCCGGCAGGGCCACATGTCACAGGCCTCGCTGCCTTAGAAGATGACATTGGTCAGGCCTCTGCTGGGGCCCAGCAAGGGTCAGGCAGAGGGAAGGTGGGCTGTTAGGAGGCAAGGTGAGATTCAGAAAGCCTTGGTGGTGCCCAGAGCTCTCTTTTGTCCCTGTTGAGTCACCTCTGCACAGCCTCATCAGAGCTCATCCATCCCAGCAGTGAGGGCGACATGCAAGATTTTTGAGCAGTCAGAATGCACAGTAGGCCTCTTCCAGCTCTTCATTTTCTTCTTTTATATCTTTATTGTATTATAATTCATATCCACACAAACCACCCACTTAAAAGTGTAAAGTGCCATGGTTTTTAGTGTATTAACAGAGCTGTGTAACAGTGATTACAATCAACTTTGGTGATCCTTATAGCCCCTTAAAGAAGCTGTAAGGGCAGGAGCAGGCAGGTGACCAGGAGAGCTAGGGAGAGCCCCAGGCTGAGGCTGTCTTTACGCCTGAGGGGTTTCAAGATGCACCAAAGTTCTGCCCATGTGGCCAGGCCACTGATCACCTGGCCACCCCCACAGAGGAAGTGGTCCCTGGGATCCCCTCACTGTGCCCAGTAGGTGGTGTGTGCCACATCTCCGCTCCAGAGACGGGGTCTTTTGTCCCCACTTGTACAGCAGGCACAGTTCTTGAGCTCTTGCCTTCCTCAGGCCAGGGGTCCCAGTCCCACAGGGATCAATGCAGTGGCCAAGTAAGCAGCAAGGCCAGATGGGCCTCAGGAAGTGCAGAATGCCCCACTCTGTGGCATTCAGTCACACTGTTAGCAAGCCTCCAGCCTTTACAGAAGTAGTTCTCGTTCAGAGGTGGAGGGACTGCCAGCACAGCCCGGTGTGCTTGAGGGTCAAGCTTCTCCATTCCCAAGTGTCCCTCCCATCCTCTGACCATGCTTCTCTGCTCTTCCCACTCCCAGTCTGGACTGGGCATCACCTCTGGGGTCCCCAGATACACTGACCCCATTGTGTGTGGCCCAACTATGGGGCAGTTGGGTGCATTTGCCCATCCTGCCTACTCCTAGAGTAGGGCTATATTTAGTTGACCTATGACGCGGCCAGGTGACCAGTGGCTTGTGGAGGGACTGGCTGTGCACCTCTGAGGGTATGGTGCCTCTCTCTGCTTAGCCATGCCCTGGACAGATGCATGCAGTGGACTTCGGAAGGAAGAAAGTGCTGCTCGCTAGAAAGAAGAGCAAGGGCGGGCCCCCAAGGACTTCTGCATTTCAGTTTGGTATATGAATCAGATGTTAGGGGAAGGTGATGCCTCGTTCCCAGGCTCTGAGGAGAGTGGGGAGTGGGCAGGCTAGGAAGGGACACAAGGGCCATGGAGCAGGTGGGGGCACTGGATAGCTGCTGGGAGAGAAGGAGCTGCAATAACTGCCCATGTGACAGATCACTTCCTTGTTTTGGGGGCCATGTCAGCAAGAAAGTCCCTGTGGTCCAGGAGCAGCAACTGTCTAAGGACTGATGAAATGGTTCCAGGCCCTCAGACATGGCTGGGGCTGGTGTCCTCACAGCCCCGCACCCCGCCCGGTTCCTGGCGGTAGGGTACTTCTGCCAGGTGGTTGCCATCCTCCACTGTGTGGTTGGAGGAAGGAGGGGGTGGGCCAGCTGTAGCAGCTGAGCTGGCTAACCCAGTGCCCCGGCCCAGCACGAGGTGTGACAGGTGGGACTGCGGACTGGCAGTTCTGGGCCTGTCATGAGGAAGTGCTTTCTAACAGTGGCAACAGATCGGGTTTTATTCAGCTATGTTTGTTTGTGTGTTCAGCTCAGGCCTGGCCCAGAGCAGGAACTTGGTAAGTGTTGAATACATGACTGAGTGTTGTTGTCCTACTCAGGAATAGAGGACTCTGTCCCCAGGGTGTCCAAACAAGTCTGCTCTTAAAAGAGGGCTGTGGTACATAGACCCTCAGGTTCTAGAATGCAGATAAAGCTTGTGGCAACTTCCCTTGTGTCTTTCAGTTTCATTGTGACTTGTGTGGGGCTTCAGATAGCCTCAAGAAGAAAAGAGGAACACACTCAAGGTTTCACACACACACACACACACACACACACACACACGCACGCACATGCACACACTGTTCACACGCACATATTCAGCCCCATTGTCCAAGTCTGTTAGATACAGGCTTCTGCAGGATATTTTAAATGACCCCTATTGAAAATGTTCCTCAGGAGCCTCCAGGCACTGTGAATGTGACCTGTCACTCCTGTCACTGTGTTCTGGAATGTGGCCAGTTGACCTCAAGATAGGGAGGTTACTGGGGAGTGGTGGCAGCCGGGTTTGTCACATGAGCCCCTCAAAACTGGAAGCTTTCTCAGAATGAGAGTAGAGGAGGCTGTCGGAGGGATTTAAAGCTGGCTTTGAAGATGAAGGCTATGTGCAAGGGTCAGAGTGCCACCTATGGGAGCTGAGGTGACCCCTGCCGTAGCCAGCAAGGAACTGGAGAGCTCAGTCTTACGGCCCCACACAACTATGTTCTGCCTAGCACCTGAATGAGCTTGAGAGTGGATTATTTCCCAGAGGCCTCAGTCAGGAACACAGTTTGGCCAATGTGGTGGTGATTTGGACCTTTTGATCCCCTGAGCATAATCCAGCTCAGCCCTGTCAGTGTTCTCACCTACAAAATGGTGACCTCATAGATGAATGTTTTCAGTCACCAAGCTTGTGGGAGTTTGTCGTACAGCAATGGAAAAAACCTTTCCTGTGTTTGGGCTATAAACTCAGCGTTAGCTTCCGGTGGGTCTGAGTGCCTTGTCGCGGTGAGCTAGTAGTTATTAAACCTTGCTCCGTGCCTATGACTATTTGTATGTGACCATCTGGAGCTCCCCTGAAGACCAAGGCTGGAGCATGATGGATACGAGCAGGAAGGAGGAGGCTCTGGGCACGAGCTGGCAGGTGCGGGCTTCTTCAGTGAGCTAGATCTTTGGTTATGTGCCTTCCAGCTTTTTAGTCACCTGTCACCTCTCCTTGGTAGGACCAGAGCTCAGGCAGTGTGGACAGAGGCATGCAGTGATGAGGTTGGCCTAGAGATGAAAACAGTGACTGGCATGCATGAGAGCAACACGGAAGCCACCATTTCGGGGGACCCTGCTGAGCCTGTCAGTGTGAGAAGAAGCCCAAAGCAATGGCTCTTACTCTAGACGTGAAAGCCCAAAAGACGCCCATGGTAGAACCTCATGGCTCAGTTGAATCTGCCTGAGTGATGGTGGGCTGGCAGGAGCTGGCATCCTTCTTGGTTCAGGATGCTGGCTCAGCTCATGGGATGGAGGGCCAGTCGGGAGGGCCGGACCTGAGGCTCGTAGAGTCCACATGTTTCCTGAAGCAGCCCGTGGTGCCTGTTATGTAAGGCCAGGGAGGCAAAGACAGGGCCTGGGGAAGGGCCACTCCACCTCTCAAATGTACGCAGCCTGTCTCAAGAAGTGATAGCACAGGTCCTTCCCATAGGCAGGCAAGAACTGGAAGACCACGGCACACAGTGGATGAATAAATAGGGAAGATGAACTGTGGACCCTGAAAATTTGACAGTGAGGAGAGCTAAGAAAGGGCCAGCAGGAGAAGAGCAGCTCCTGGGCAGACCCTGAGGCCCATTTGCGGTCTGACTGAGTTTGGCACATCCTGTATCACCCATGTATGCAAAAGGGAGGGATTTGGTCATGGTTGTCACTTGCGTCCTTTGCTAGTGGCTGTAGAACTGTGGCTGGGCCCCGTGGCACAAGGTGGGGCAGGTGGTCAGCTGGGTTCTGGCATTGGACACTGTGAGGTAGTAGCAGCGCACGGACCCTGGAGTCCACTGGAGGCAGAAAGGGACATGGGTGGCAGGCGCTTTTGTCTCATGCCAGTTCTAAGTAATGTCCTTCCTGGGGATCCCAGGACGTGGAGAGTGTCTCAGTTACTCTTCTCTCATTGCTGGGACAAATACCTGACATCCAAAATGAAGGAAGGAAAGGTTTATTCAGCTCACAGTTACTGGAGGGTTCAGTCCACACTCAGCTGGCTCCAAGGCAGGCTGGCACATGGCAGAGGGCAACCTTTCATGGAGGGAGCAAAGAACAGAGAGCAAATGGGAGGAGCAGCAGCAACAATGGCTAAAGAAAGAGGATCTCTCTCTCTCTCTCTCTCTCTCTCTCTTTCTTTTTTTTTTTTTTTTTTTTTTTTTTTTAGTACAGGGTCTGCAGAGAATCACTACACAGATCGGACTTATAAGTGATCCGCCTGTGTTCAGCCTCCCAAGAGTTGGGATTATAGGGCAATCCACCACGCCCAATCTCAATCACCAGCTCAGCGTGCGCTGGGGGTGGGGCTGGCATGGCACACCAGGGACTGAACCCCAGCTGCTGCATCTGCCTAAGCAGGCTCTTTAATCCGCTGAGCTATTTAGTCAGCCCTCGATGTCTCTTGTTACATTCAGGCTCTCTGCCTCAGGTTTGGGGAAGTATTCACACCCATAATCCTAGCAGCACTAAACCACATAATCCCAGCCTTGGATCACCCATAATCCCAGTGGATCATGAGTTAATCTCAAACTCTAGAAGTCCCTGCCCCATGACTGCATGAGGCTTTGTGGGGACAACTAGACACAAACCATAACAGAGAGACATTAAGTGAAGCATCACTATTCTTTTAATGAGGAAAATGAAGTCACCCCAAATCAGCCTGGCAAAGAAGCATGAGTGTGCAGTATTTTAAACCAACCTTGAGCCCAAGAGTGAATGTGTCATCTTTGGTTCTAGGGTGGTGAGTCCCAAGGTGCAGACCTGGAGTCAATGCTGATCAACCCCTGTCCTAAAACAGAGATATAGTTCTGTCCTCAGTATAGCTGCTGTCGCCAGGATGGCAGATGTCAGGCTTGAGGAGGGAGTAGCAGGGGTGATGTTGGGGGATAGGGGAAGCAGCCACCCTGCTATGTGACTGGCGTGAGCCCCTTTAAGTCTAGGTCCGACTCCTATTTAGAAAGCAAGGAGGTTGGACTAATTAATCATCTTCTCTTTTTTAGTAAGGGTCTCTAGGGTCTCCAGGGTCTCACTGTGTAGGTCAGACTCATAGTAATCCACCTGTGTTCAGCCTTCCAAGAGCTGGGATTACAGGTGCAGGGCTGGCACAGTGCTCCAGGGATTGAACCCTGGCTGCTGCGTCTGCCTTAGCAGGTACTTTAATCTGCTGAACCATTTGGCTGGTGCTAATTAATCATCCTTGTCTCCTTTGCTTCTAATTCCCCACATTTTGAATCCTGTGAAACCAGGATAGTCTTTGCTGAGACTGTTCATGTGCCAGGTAATATGAAGATAGCATGTCGGCCTGGTTGACATAATGTCACCCTCATGTGTCACCCTGTCCTGTGGTGCCAGCGTCGTTGTGGTGTGGTCTGTCTCTGATGCTTGCCTGCTCTAATGTCACTTGTGCTATGCAGAAACAGCCTCCAGTACCTGGTGGTGATCCCGAAATTGGGAGTCTGGAGGACTGGGCCATGTCACATGGAGAGACGTTTGAGGAAGGCCTAGCTGATTAGGAGGAATGGTGAGACCAGCAGCAGTGACTAGCCATAGTGCAAGCTCTCCTGCCGTGTAATCTGTGAAGGCTGCTTCTCTCTCATCCCAATCAGCTGCTGACGTCTCCCACTTTTCCTTGTCCTTGGCTCTTAGAAAGACAAGTTTCAAGATGATCCGGTCCCAGTCCTTGTCCCTGAAAATGCCGACGCAGCAAGACTGGAAGGGTACCCCATTGGCCAGCCCGGTGGTGTCTCCCTTGACACCTGTGCTCTACGGAGCCAGCTCCCAGCCCCTGCCTGCACCCTGTGCAATGCCCGAGTACCAGCGGGTCATCATCAGCGGAGATTACTGTGCCGGGGTAAGGCAACGTGAGAGTGTTGGAAGCGCCTTGGGTACCGAGGCTGGGGGCCCCTGCCAAGTCCACCCTGAAACCTGGCTCAGCCTGTGGGAGTCTGGGAGGTGGTGGAGAGGAGGCGTGGGACACTGAAGAGGAGGGAGCTAGTGGGGCTGTGGTGCTAGGGTGTCTGGGGGACTCCCACTGCCTTGTCAGAGGCCCATGGCTGTGGCTGTCACACTGTCCTGTCTGTCATCCCACTGAGAAGGGTGCCAGCCTGGGTGCCCAATGTTCTTAGCAGTCTAGTGGCTTCAAAATTATGGGCCAACTGGTTAGCATAAAATCAGTGTTTACTGAAGTAGCTTAGGGATAGTATCTTTACATACAGGCTAAACGCCGGCCAGATAGCTCAGTGGATTAAAGAGCCTACTTAGGCAGATGCAGTGGCTGGCTCGGGTTCGATCCCTGGCATGCCATGCTGGCCCCACCCTTGGGATGCAGGGATTGAGACTGGGCATGGTGGCACATGCCTGTAATCCCAGCTCTTTGGAAGGCTGAGTACTGGTGCATCACTAGGAATCTGATCTATGTAGTGACACCCTGTGGACCCTTACTAAAAATACAAAAATAAATAAATACAAGCTAAATGTTCTCAACCAGGAAGACATGTTTTGGTTAGACAGTGAACAGCGCCCCCCCTTTGTCTGTTTAGAGAGAACAGCATATTAATCTACAAAGAACTTGTTCTTCTTTATAAGTGCATGGTATTTCACTGTATGGCTGTGCCATGACTTGGTCATGTGCATACGAACTGAGGTAGGAATCAATGCATGCCTCGCCTGAAGATCAGCAACCTGGTCAAGCCTCGACACTCACCTCTAGGCAGAATGGTGGCCAGGCAGAGTGGAGGAGGGCTGAGTGTATGTGGATGACAGGACGTGGGCCCGGACGCTTACCTGCCTCCTGTCTGCCAGTCAGAACTAGTGAGAAGTAGGCTGATCTTGGCACCACAGAGTCTACCACCAGCCAGGGGGCCTGGTGCACCTATGAACTCGGTTGCTGGCTCCTGCTCCACTAGGATCCTGAACGCCCTCTCTGATAGCCTAAGCCTGAGCCTCTTGTCACACTGAGATCCTTCAGAGAAAGCAGTTGGCTTTGCTGTGAGCAGGGACATCGTTTTGCCAAAGATAGTTGTGTCTGCCAACCAATCATGCCACTTTCAGAGGCCTTTCCATGGGGACATAAAGTGGAATTAACTACCCTTGTGGAGATATGACAGGCAGGAAAGAGAAACTTCCAGCTTTACAGAAAGCAAAGAGTATGTGGAATGGAATGATAAATACACACTGGGGCCCGCATCCTCCTCCCTCTGGGGCTGGAGGAGAGTGTTGATTTCTAGCTGTCTGTACTTGTGAGACATCTGAAGCGATTGTTAAAATGTAGATATTGCTAGCTGTGGAAGGCAGATGCTGGTATCTGTTGCATTACCTTCTGTACTTGTCTGTGTGTCTATAATATTTTAAAACTAAACAGAATTATAATATTTAGGCCAGAGAGGAGATCCTTAGCCCTTCCTACCCTGTGCTCTTGTACCTCCCTCTCTGTGTCACATCTCGCTGTCCTGCCTGTCTGTTCGTGTCCCCCAAGTTTGGCCACATTTCGGTGACATCCTCCTTGCTGACCCCGCAGTGGTCGGTGAGGTGGACCTATGGTCCTATGGATTTTAATCCAGTTTTAAAATGGATTGTTTTTCTGGCAGAATCAGGGATTGAACTCAGGCCCTTGCACTTGCCAGGCAAGCGCTTATTCTACTGAGCCATTTCCCTAGCCCCTTAAAATGGATTGTGGTACGGAGTGAAATGAAAGCATTCATATATGGAAACAGTGTGTCTGTAGCACATGACCATAAGAGGTGTTTGTCAGGCGGGGGTTGAGCACATAGATGTATTTATTTATTTGTTTGTTTGCTTGTTTTCACATCTGAATTCCAAGACTGTTCTCAACTGACTATGATGGCACTCCAGCAGAAGTGGGAGTCAGGCATCGGGGCAGCAGCAGGCTTGTGGTTTAACTGCCAGGGGCGGGGGCGGCGGTGGCCTCTGGATATGCAGGCCTGGGTATCTGCCTCTGTCCCCGCAACCCTATTTCCTTGGGTCTCCTATATTGGGGTCCCAAGACCCCCAGCAAGTCTGGTGTTCTGTTAGGACTGTCTGGATGACTCAGCAGCTAGGTGTTCTCACAGCTGTGACGTACCACAGTGAAAGGACACAGAGTGGACCAGCTAAGGGGACAGGCGCAGATCGTGAGGTCTGGAGTCATTTGGTGCAGCTTCCAAGGGTCCTGTGTCAGGGCAGCCACCAGGACGTACTGAGTGGTGCTGTCGGCATCCAGTGGTGACTAAGTGCTGCCTGCCGGGAAGCTCATTGGAAACGCAGCATCCGAGGCATTTCCTGGGTCTGTCTCGCATTGCGTAGCACCAATTCAGCCTCCTAGAAGAACATCAGGTGTCCAGCATAAACCGCATCACTGCTCTGAACAGTTTAGACCCAGTGAGCCATTCTTCTTGGTCAGGGTGGGAATCCTGAAAAATTCAGGCTGCCAGGTGCTAGCCAAGGGCCAGGGTTACAAGAAGACCCTGCTAGGGGACAGTCCAGGCCTGCTGTATGCATCCTTTCTGTCCATTTCCTTCCTGCAGATCGCTGTGGAGGACTATGAGCAGGCCGCCAAGAGCCTGGCCAAGGCCCTGCTGATCCGGGAAAAGTATGCACGGCTCGCCTACCACCGCTTTCCACGGACCACTGCCCAGTACCTGGGGCACGGGCCAGCTAATGCTGAACTTCCGGACGAGGGTCTCCCAGGTATGGAGTTCTGGCTGCAACTGGGGTCCTGAGTATGGGCCTGGCCCAGCAGTTGTGGTGGTGTTTTATTAATTGCATGTGTTTCCCCCAGTGGTGTTTTTAGGCATGGGGCTCTGTGTTGGCTCCTCCTACACTGAGGTTTGCTGATTCCCCTAATGTGCACTCTGTGCTCAGCTATGTGGCATGAACAGTAGAGATTAGGAGAGCGAGAGGAAGACAGCGCCTCATCATGGGCGTCTCCCAGGGAGGTGGAGAATCTCATGAGGGATATTTAAAACAAATACAATCAAATAGTCAATGCTGAATTGGTGGTAGATGGGCTCCAGAGAGCAGGTACAGAAGGCATGGTCCCAGGGCAGCAGAAGTGGGATCTGGAGTGGAACCCACCTGCATTTGTCCCTAGGGCCTGCCAATGTCTTGGACCTCGGAAAAGATAGATATTTCTCTAAATCTCAGTTTTTCAACCTGTAAAATGGACGATTTATAGTTGCTATCTCCTAGGGCAGCTTAGATGAGGGAAATGCATGAATAGTAGCTAGTGCTGCTCTGGCAGCCAGAATGTGCCCAGTCGTGGCAGCTGCAGAGCTTAGGGAGGGAGAGAGGGGGCGAGGCGGCCTTCTGGTGGAGTCCATTTGACCTGCGAAGGGCTGAGGGGCAGCAGAGGCCATGAGCTGAGTCATACAAATGAGGACAAGGGGAAGCCTCACTCCTGAAAGCCGGCATGGGAGCCCCTCAGGGCTGGAGGCCTGCACCACCGTCCAGGACCCTGGCTGCCCTTGGACCTGTGGTGGTACCAGGCTGTCCCTGTCTCTGGCTTCCATACAGCTCTGAGTCCTATGCTTTGCATATTCTGTTACCACCTGGGTCCCTGGGAAAATTCAGGCTTTCTAGGTCCATTTTCTTCTCTGCCTGGATCACTTCAGTTTAGACAAGGACGGACAAGAACAGCGGTCAGTGTCGGCTTTATCCAGACCAAGGCCTGGCATCCCTTCCCGCCTTCTGTGTGCTGAAGCGGAGCAGCAGCCTGTGCGTGCCCTGTGGCATCACCTGCACCTTGCACTCCATGGTGCAGGTTAAGGACCTCTGCACTGGCCTGTGGCTCTGCCTGACGGGGACCATCAGCCTCTTCTGAATACTAAGAGAAGATGCCAGGCGGGAGCCACAGGGTCTTTCCCCCTGGGCTGGCTGCTGGGCCGCTGGTCCTAGACAATGCTGTTTCATGTGCAGTGCTGAGAATCTGTAGTGTTGCATCCTTAGCCAAAGACAGAGCTCTTCAAGAGCCAGAGAAACCCGTTATGGGAAGAATAAGAAAGTAGGAGCTCCTCCACTCACAACGGAGTGCTCCTGACAAACCCACCCTCTGCTAAATGTGCATGGATTATCGCTAACCTACCGCCAGTGTGCTCAGGGCAATTCTGCTGGCTCGTAGTTGGGTAAGATCATCTAACATACAGCCTACTTGGCAATACATTGCTGAGTATGTCATGTAATGACATGAGGTACTGAAGTGCTGTATTACAAAATGCTATACTGAAAATGAAAACCAAAATGATTAGATGCGTACACTTTTCACGACCATAAATCTTAAATCAAGCCATTGCACATCGGGGATGGTCTGTAACAGTGTGCTGGGCATCACTGCTGGCAGTTTCCCTGTACACACTTTTGACAGCCTGTGAAAGTAGGGGTGTTACTGTGAGTGAAGAGAGAGGATCAGAGAGGTAAAGATTGTTCAGAATCTCATAGCTGGGAAATAGAGAATGGGATGACTTCCCATGGGATGACTTAGCCACAGCTGTGGTGACAGGCAGCTCTGCCCTTTGCACGGCTGTGTGTGGGACACAAGCCCCTACCCCACGCTCCACTGGGGATGGAGCGTCCTCCTCGCCCAGCTTTGGGGCTCAGGAAGACGTGGGAGGACAGGGACAGTGCTTCCCACTGGGCAGTCCCAGTGCTGTCTGTTCTGTCAGGATAAGACACAGCTGTCCTTTTTAACATTCCCGGGGGCCCTGAAGACTAAAAAAGTGGAGGGCCCTTCCAGCTAAACCAAAAAGAACTGTTGAAGTGCCAGGGCTGCTCTAGGAGCACAGCACCAATCAAAGTCACTGTCTGCCAGCAGAGTCTACTCTGAGTAGAGAAGATCTGTTATACCCAAGATAAGAAGTACAGTGATTTTGTACAAGGGTGAGTGCTATGGAGACAAAATAAAGCAGCGAGGGGGCCATGCAGTGTCAGGGCAGGTGCATGGTTGGGTTTTAGATAGAACGGCCAGGGCCCATTCTGTCTAAAATCTGTGCCCATGGAAGTTTGCAGGGTCAGGTGTGCTTGACTACCATTCCATCCTGTTTTGCAGACTTCTGCCCTCCCCCGCTGCCCCAGGAGGACCCTTACTCCCTGGACGATGTACCTCCCAACCTGGACTACCTGGTCTGCATGAAGGGGGGCATCCTCTTTGTGTATGATAACAAGGAGATGCTGCAGCGCCAAGAGCCCCACAGCCTGCCCTACCCTGACCTGGAGACCTACACAGTAGACATGAGCCACATCTTGGCCCTCATCACTGACGGCCCCACGTAAGCCAGCTTGCCCCACCTCCCCTGCCATTGGGTGGGGGCTGTTCTGTAGGGAAGATCTGCAGGCTTTCCTACATGCTGGCCATTCCCAAAGAACACAGCTGCCCCAGCTCTTTGCTTTGTGAGTTTCCGCAACACTTTTCCTTTGTGGGTTGGCATATTCCTAGAGTTGTTACTACCCGGGCCTTCTGTGTGTGTGGGTGTGGTGCTTCTCTTTGCCGGTGACTATGTACCTTCAAACAGCCACCACACCTCTCCCCAGGCAAGACCATAGCCTCGTAGAACCCTGCCAGTCAGGGCTGATGGCAGTGGTCGTACATGGTGGAGGAATGAGAAAGACTATGGTTTCAGGTCCTGGGTTTCCATCTTTGTGGAGAGGAGCGCACAGGGAGCCCAGGGCACGATGCCCTGATGCTCCTAGCTGGGCTCAAGCTGGCTTCCTGCATTTGGCCCCTCGCTTCCTGGTGGGCACCTGGGCTGATCAGCAATGAAAGTTCAGTCATCTGTGCACAGACCTCAGCAAGGTGCTGCCCAGAGCAGGGGCTGGGAGGCGGAGGCTGCTGTCATGCCAAGACTTTCTTGCGGCTGCCTTTTGGTTTTGCTAAGAATGACATGATGCTGGTCCCCCCGGGAGGACAGTGGGTGGTGCAGTGGACAGACAGCTCAGCCCTCCCTGATCCAGGGGCAGAACTGAGACCCAGGAGGAGGCGTGGGCGGTCAGACATGTGGGCAGTGACTCTCGTGTCTGGGAAGGTGTCAAGAAGAGACTGTCTTAGGAGAGAGAGTGGCTGACATGACCTTTACACTCCCTCACCTCTCTGTGACTCCCCTGTGCTTACCCCAAGGCTGTTGTTGTTGGGTTGGTGGCTGGTCTTCATAGGAGCCCAGGCGATTAGACGCCAAAGCAGCTGCTGTTCGTTCTGAGGTCATGAGGAAGCAGGCTGACATGAGTGGAGATAAAGGTTCCATGTGGCTGTGGAGCCAGGCATGGGGCCAGACACCTGAGCTGGGGGTTTTGGGGTAGCAGTGAGCTCCCACCCTTGCTGGCTGAGAGAATCTCCCTCCCTGTGATGTCCTTCTCTGAGTTGGTGCGCACCTGGGGCATCAGCCCTACAGACATTTCTTTTCTAGTAACGAACACCCAGTGTTCCTGGTTTGCCCACAATGCAAAAAATGCCTCTTTTGGTTCTGAAGTGGGCAGCCCACACCTTAACAGTTTGATTGCATTATTGATATTCTGGGCAGTTGATTTCTGGCTTAAGGAATTAAAGGGGGCTGAGGATAGGTGGGAGGGAGAAAAAAGAGGAAGAGTGGAAGGAGGGAGCCGGAGCAGCACAGGTTAACACTGCATAATGGTGGGATTGCTTGGGAAGTTGATGCATGAATTCCAAGAATCTTAATCACTTTCACTCCTGGTACCCATCCCCCTTCCTTCCTACCAATCCCCTTCTCTGTCTCTGAAAGTCCACATCCTCTTCTCCATCATCGAAGGCGGGAAACTTAGTGTCTGCTCTGCTCACAGTTAAGGCCCGCCATGTCACTTCAGCCTTGGGCGTTACCATCTCAGTGTTTATGCATGGGAGCCTTATTCGTAGGGATGGGGGCTTCTGCCTGATTGACTGCAGAGAACTGGAAGCCGGAGAACCCATGAGGTCCCAAAGTCTCCCACGTGTGCCTCCTCACACCCTGGGCACATGGCCAGGACCAGGCACCTCTTGGCCCTGTCACACCCTGGGCTCATGGCCAGGACCGGGCGCCTCTGGGCCCTCTCTGAGCTGACCTTTTCACCTAGAGGTTGCCTCCCCATGCTGGAGGTCTCCAAACTGAGTTGAATGTGACTTCTTCTCACCTGGGGTCTCTCCCCCTCCCCAACCTACAGGAAAACCTATTGTCACCGGCGACTGAATTTTCTAGAATCCAAGTTCAGTCTTCATGAGATGTTAAATGAAATGTCTGAGTTCAAAGAGTTGAAGAGTAACCCCCACCGAGACTTCTATAATGTGAGAAAGGTGAGTTGGTGGCTAGTGTTTCAACCATGACCTGACCCCCTCTTGGCAAAAAGGGGTGTCCTGAGCCGATCTAGGGCTGGCGTCCCATGAGCTCACCAGGACTCCTGGCTGCACAGTGCCTGTGTGGCCTGTGCCATCTTCATTGGGAAGTAGGGCACAGCCTGTTAACTGGTTATGACAATAGGCCACCTTTAGGGTAGGACATGTGTTATGACCTCTTTGGATTTGGGAATTCATGATTGTACATCTTTTGTGATAGGGTATATTTAAAGAAAGGCACCGACATGCTCTGGTCTCTGTGCCTCTCCTACCTATTGAGTGGCTGAGTGGCACCCGGCACCCCCAGCCTGCAGGGGCAGCCCCAGGAGCAGTATGCATGTCAGCTGGTCATGCTCCCCCCAGCTTTTCCACTTTCTTCCATGTACATAACACATAGCACAGACATGGGGCAGCGATGATGAGAACAGTCACTTCTGGTCCACAGGAGATTCCTAGCCTGTTGCCCTAGGAATAAGTGCTATGATGTTGTTTGCTTTTGAGGTGGCCCAGCAGGGGATCCTGGGCTCACTAGCTGTTCCCTGCCCTGATGGAAAAGAACTTTATGTGAGCCTTTGGCACCAGTTCACAGGCATCCTGGGGTCTCCTGACAGTGTGGGGTTAATGTACTCTCTGGACAAAGGGAGCCTTGACGCTTATGTGTCCTGTTCTCTGGTACCAGCCAGTCCACAAATATGTGTTAGGCAGTGAGATAGGCTTGTGCTCACCTCTGGTTGGGGGGACCCGTGTCCTGTGTGCCAGTTGCTTAACCTCACTCAAGGCCTCTGCAGTGACTTTCTGATGTGCAGAGTGGGCTGGGTGGGAGCGGCCCTATTTCTGAGGTGGATGTTGTGTCTCCAAGGGTATAGGAAGCTGGGCTCTGAGGGCAGGTGTGGTAGGATGCCCACGAGGCTCTGTGGGACTAGGGGTTGTGACACAGGAGGTCCCATTTGCAGCATCCTTGGGTGAAGTGCACTGAGGTGCTTTTATAAACCTACCTGAATGTTCGGTAGCACATGACATGGCATTCACTCTATTTTTGATCATACTTCATAAAGATACTCATGGAAAGAGAACTTTCAAGAGTGTTTCAGGCAGTGGCAAGAATCACGGGAACAAGTGTATTCAAAAG